GTCGTCCTTTGTGTCTTCCCTAGTGAACTTGATGTTTTTATCCAAGGCGTTAATGTTCGCAGTGAAAGATTCCACTTCTTGTGTCTTGATTTTGACCCAGGAGTCGTCTACATATCTGTACCAGTGGCTGGATACTCTTCCTTTGAAAGAGCCTTCCTTTCCAATTCCTCCATGTAAAGGTTGGCTACAATAGGTGACACAGGGGAGCCCATGGCACAGCCATGTTTTTGTCTGTAGAAGCCTTCGTTGTATTTGAAATATGTTGTGGTAAGGCAGAGGTCTAACAGTGTGCAAATCTGATCGGGTGTGAAGTTGGTCCTGTCTTCTAAGGAGCTGTCTTCTTGTAGTCGTTTTCTGACAGTGTACACTACCTCCGTGGTGGGTATGCAAGTGAAGAGAGAGACTACATCAAAGGACACCATGGTTTCATCTGGATCCAGGGTAAGTTTCTGGACCTTGTCGGTGAATTCGGTGGAGTTGTTGATGTGGTGTGGGGTGTTCCCCACGAGAGGTGCAAGGATGGTAGCAAGGTGTTTTGAAATGTTGTAAGTAGCTGAGTTTATGCTACTGACGTGGGACACCTTCCTTGTGGATTTTAGGAAGTCCGTAAAAGCAGGGTATGGCATCCCCTGGGTAAAGGCGGTGATATGTAAGGCGGTCAATGATTTTGTCCTTTTCAAGGTCTTGAAGGCAAGCTATAACTTTCTTTTTTCTTTTTTCTTTGTAGCTGCTTGTGGGGTCTCGCTTTAAGGCTTCGTAGGTATTGTTGTCACTGAGGAGAGTAGTGATCTTTGTGTGGTAATCTGTAGTGTTTAGGACCACGGTGTATCTTCCCTTATCAGCTGGTAAAATAGTGATGTTGTGATCTTTGCTCAGGGAAGCGACGGCCTTCTTTTCTTGTATTGTGAGGTTGGACGGAGGGACTTTGGCACTGGAGAGGGAGTGGAGTTAGAGTGGAGACTGTAAGCCTAAACCCAACACTCCAAAACCTAACAAACTTAACAGCCTAACACCCCTAAACATTGTGGACAGGCTTCCCAAAAGAGTTGATGCTGTTATACCTGCAAAGAGTTGTGCAACACGAAATTAAATCCTATGGATTAAGAACGGATTGTCACTCAAGTTCATACAGCTGTGAAGCCAGACGAGCAAATACATCTGGCAATATAATGTCGCTATAGCTTTGTGTTAAATGAGGTTAAACTGCGGTTTATTTCTTGTTTGAGCTGCTCCAGGTTTTCATATTATTTTAGAGGACTTTGTGAATGACACTTTTCATTTTGGATTTTAGGTCTCATATGTCCATACTAATGTTCTCTAAATCCAAACAAACTTTGGCAGCATAGGTGGTTGGACCCGTTCACTCTCAGCACCCCTTTTGTTTGACCTGACTGTCTGTTGGCATTACTATGAGGGTAAATATGTTGTAAATGTGAGAGCTTGTAAAATTAAAGGAGAGAATGTGTAGAAAAAATATGAACTTGTAATTTGAAATGCTTGCATGTAAAAAATGTTCACATACTTGTGATTTAAATTTATAGAAAAAATATTCACAAATTCAAGGATGGACATTTTCTCAAATATATAACGAGAACTGCAAATTTTTGTATTGTTATTTGTTTTACTATGTACAACTGCAACCATGTGATCAAAACCAGTCAAAAATAGAGTCTTTGTAGAAATGGTGCACAGTGGCACTGCTTCGGGATATTGTGTTACAACCAGAAATAATAAAAATCACTATCCGCTTGGATGCTGGTGAAATTGCTCAATGAGGTCCATGCCAATGCACTCAATGGAACCTCCATTAATGATAGCAGGTGCAAAGACACTAGATGCCAGGACCGTGGAGAGATATCAGAAGTGGAAGTGTGATTAAACGTTGGACTCCACTGGCTGCAATGGGGATGCACCACAGGGCCTCCTTGGGGCTGAGATCGGCCATCAGCTGTGGGTCCCTGCCAGCTCCCTGCTGCAAGGTGATCCTTAGCCAGCATTATGGCCAGCTTGAGACTTGCTGGCTGATGACAGCCAAACTGACTCTGCTGTTTATGCTGGGAACCCCTCCATAAGCTGCATCAGTGTCAGCATGTTCAACAGCTAAGCTTCCCCCAGGCTACTCAATTGTGGAGCCTCCTAGTGTAGGCGAATGGCTAATCTCTCACCCCCATCTCCCCTTCCAGGAACCAATAGCAGTGATGCTCATGCAAGAGTCCCAGTCGGTCCATGATGATTTGCTGGATGTTGAGAAAGCAATTCCTAACAACCACCTAAAGGCTAAGCTCTAAGCCGCCACTTCTACCAGAGGCAGCAGCCACAGTGAGCATTCATTCTCGGGTGGCCAGCACGTCTCCGCCGTGGCCTGTAAAACTTCAGGGAAGTCCTGGGGGTCCTCCCTCTTGTCCATTGGGTGGAGCGTCAATGCTCGGACTCTGGGGAGCAGGAACAGCGGTAGTGAGGAGCCAGCCCAAGCAAGCAGACATTTGAGCAGCCTTATCTGCCGCTTGGACTGTTCCTGCCGCTTGTCTAGAAGGTGGCGCTGTGTCCCCACCAGGTCAGTCACTATCTTGGCTTGCACCTCCACTGGCTGAGCAGACCACGAATCCATCGTGACATGCCTAAGTTTTTGGAACGCTATAGCAACAACCCAGACAGTTTATCCAGTTTATATAATGCTTTTTAAACACTCTTTCTCCAGCCGACACCACAAAACTGAACACACTGGTCCATCCCTCCCCTAGAACTGAGCCACAAACAACACGCCTCCACGGTGACTTAAAGTGTGATGTACTGATGCCCCTGAGTCACAAAGCTGTGATACAGAATGAGGGCTCTGAGGTGAAGTAAAATGCTCTTTTACTGCCAATAGTGGAGCAAACTGAGTAAAAAGACACTGCTGACATATGGACAGAATGTCTGTCAAATTTCAGAGCGAAAGCTAATGTCAGGGCAGCACACTGATCAGTGTATTTATGGCTAGTTAGCTAACACCTTTACCATTAACTAAAATAGTCATGAAGGATTTTCATGTCTGTGTTGGTTTCCTCATTAATCACAGTAGTAATGTACTAAATAAATATTTGAAGGAACCTTACAGTGGCTCTCTGTGCTCTGTGGCTGTGAATCCACCATGGCATACAAGACAGTGGGGAATGAGACTACTTGGTCTTCTTTTTCTTTGATTGGCTGACGCCCAATCTTGTCACACTCTCTGTGGTTTTAGTCATATTATTAAAATCTTTGATCCCTTTGTTTCTTTTCTCACCACTTATCTTGCATCCACACCTTTATATATTACGTTGTATGGGGTATTTTCATGACAGGCTATCAGGGGTTCTGACCCTACACTATTTTCTCCATCATAGCATAACCAGATGTCCAGTAAGAGAGATTCTTGTGGTCTCTCCAGAAGATAAATAACTGCTCAATCCCCTCCAACCAGCATTTGCACTTGTCTAATGGTAGCATTACACTCCCAGTAGCTCACATTTCCTGACATCATATTTCCTTTCAGCAGCACACAGACGCTGGGAGAAAAAGCCACATGGGTTTAACTTACCATCTGGGGCCAATCACTTAAAGGCCAGTTTAGTAAGAGTACTATTGTTTTTCATAAATTACTGATAATAAATAGCAAAAAGAAAGCACTGATAATTGCATGGAGGGTGTCCATGCAATTTTAGAAGGAGCAGAAATGCTATTGTTTGGACATTTTTTCTGCTTTTACATAGACCAGCAAGGGCATTAGTAAGACCAAATGGCATCACCAAGTATTTAAAATGTCCCAAATGAGTGGTAAAAGTAGTTTTCCACTCATCCTTTTCTTTTATGTTTATAAGCATTACACAGATCTAATTTTGTAAAAAAAATTATGGTGCCTCAAAAGCTGAACTGAACAGAAGTAATCTGGTGATTTGATATAACCCCTGGTAACCCCCAGCAATCAGAAAATGGCCTAAGAGTCTTACTCTTCTTTTAGACAAAGAAAAACTTCATAGGAAGGAAAGCTTTAACACTTTTTAAGCTCTCACAATTGATACCAATCACTGTGGAAGAAGTGGGGTGAATGGCTATGGTCACTGAGGCCAGAATTACTTGTCACAATTACGGTGCACATTTGGTCTATAAATGTTGCACATGCTTGTGTTGGCCCAAAGACAAACCTTGTTTAGATAAAGCCGTATAGGTATGGCAGCTGAGTCTCTTGAGTCCAGTGTTTGGCCAGATAATTCTGTCGTGTTTTGCAAGAAGTTATTAGCAACAGATAAATACTCAGATAAGATAGGGGAGCTGTTACTGGCAGGCCAGAGGATCCCAGGGACAGTGGAGGAAGAAAGTGGTGGAGACTGGACAGGCAGTTGAGTAAAAGGGGAATATGTCTTTTGTAAGCAGGCAAGCAACTTAAAGAGACAGATAAGTGAGACAGTGAACCTGAGCTCAGTTTTCCCACAAAGCACAGGCATTGCATTTCACCAGGAAGTCACAGACCAACAGAAATTCAGGATTCATAACTGCCAACGCAGGGGCAAAGCAAGAGGATCACAGAGCCACATTACTACCATGCATGTAGTAATGCCATCTGGCAGAATATGGAAGCACAATACTACCACAAGCAGTTAAGGAAATGGAATACAAGTATTACAGAAAAACCAGAAGCTCCAACTGGAGGCAGCATCTGTAAAGAAAAAAAAAAGCAACTCCAGCTGAGAAAGTAACACTTTCACAGCAATTTGCAGGAGCACTTACTAAAAGATTTGAGTGTATGTTGGCCTTTTATGTAAAAACATACATACAAGCTCAAATATATACATACATAAAAAAAAAAATCCTAAATAAATTCAAACTTGTGCATACAATTAATTGGGATTTAAAGTAATTAAAATTTCAAACAGTTGCTGAAATGATGCAGAGGAAGAAATGCATTGCAGTGGATTAAACTAATTATTGCTAAATTAATGACTAATTAATGACTAATGACTTTTGCTGTGCTTCTCTTAAAGGACAAAGATGACGAACAGCCACAGCTGACAGCTGATCCTGGGGAGTCTCACACAGAGGAAACCCTAGAAGAGACAACAGGAAAAAAAATAGATTTAGTTTACTCCCTTAATGACAGGCCACCATGGTACCTCTGCATTTTGCTTGGCTTCCAGGTAAATTTATCTGCTGACTTGTTTAGCCCAGTGTCACAGCAGAAAACTGTATCTAACCTTGCTACTACTGCAGGAAAACATTCTGCTTTCATTTATTGAACATCTTTGATTGGCTGTAGCTCTGGAGGTAGAGCCGGTCATCTACTGATTGAAAGGTTGGTAGGGCAAGCCAGCCTGCTCAAGTCTGCGTGCCAAGGTATCCTTGGGCAATATAGTAAACCCCAAGTTGCTTTCCAATACATTCACTGTGAAAGTGTGACTGTTAGAAAGACAGCACTTAGGTGCAGAAAAAAAAAGTGCTTGTGTGAATGGGCGAATAAGTGCTTTGAGTGCTCAAATAGAAAAGGGGTATATAAGAAACAGTCCATTTACTCTTATAATGAAGCCTCTTGATGTTAGATCAATGCCAAAGCAAGGAGACAAACCTACAGCTCTGTAAAAATAAAGTTGCATAGGCTAAACCAATTCTCATTTACATCTACAGCAAATGCGAGGTCAAATTAGCAGTCATTATTTATAATCCCAAATTCCCAACCTTCTCAATTTCTTTTTGAGACAATTAAAAACCTTCTATAACTCAGTAACTTAATGATAGATATTGCACCATCAGCTTCCTTCTGCAGTTTAGTGCTGGACAGTTAGGAAAGTGGGTTTGTCAGTATTTTCCAGCTTTTTAATACAGAGAAAGAGAAGTGTAACTAAAGCTGAGGTAAATGTAGTTGAAATTATAACTAGAAGATTTCCATAATCCTGACAAGTTGATGGTAATGTCTTTTTTGTTGTTGCAACATTTGCAAACTAAAAAATAAACAATAATTCAAAATTCAAAAAATGACATTAATGTAGTTAAAGAAAATGTCTCACTTTAAAAAGGGGTGATAATTAATGTGTGTTGGCAACAGTATGTATTTACTCACAATAAGGTCTGTCAGTACCCTAACCCTGATTCTTTAGTGATTCGTTAGCGACTTTAGTGTAAAGTCACATGTTAGCGACTTTAGTGTAAAGTCGCTAACATGTGAGTGCTTGTATGTGTGAGACGGTTCTAGACATGAGCAGAAATGAGTAAGGGGGATTTTGAGTAAAAAGGGAGGGAAAGCTAAATATGACATGTAATTTTCTTTGCACTTTTAGTTAAACTATTTTAAGTCGTGTCAAAACGTTTTTGGAAATGGGACTTTATTTTATTAATAACATACAAGAGTGTGGGTAAGACATGCAGCAAAGACTAGAATGTCAAGAGTTAATTTCATGGCTGATTAGCAACAGCATTTCAATCATTCAATAACATTATTTACAAAACCTGCAATATGGTTAAAATCCAAAGTGTGGTCACAAGTTAGTAGTTTAGATATTTTCAAGGTTATAATAATACCAGTTTTCTTTCAGGCTGAGTGACCTTGGTTGAACCAACGACAAGGAAAATACGATCATGCTGTAAAAAATATATTAAATTTAAGCTCCAAGGCTGGCATGTTGAAATGACCAAAATATTGGTGACTTTATTTTCTCCTGTAGCATATTATTGATTTGTATTTATTTGAAAATAATCTGTTAGCATTTTAGCATATATGTATATATGACCACTCACTCAAATCTTTTAATAAGTGATGCTGAAGGTTCTATTGTGTCTTTTAACTGGACATGGCAAAAAGCCATTTATGTTACTGATTAGGATTGACCACAAAATATGAATGTTGGGCAAAATGTAAAATCTTTTAGGTTTATACATCTGGAAAGAGTAACTTCTACCAGCCTATCTCATTCCACAAGGAATCCTCACTGCCATGGAACTGATATCTCCCTGATTGTTGCAGGTTTGGAAAATGATTAAAACAAACAATGCCCATGTTTTCCACCCCTGTGTGAAGTATAGTAAAGCCTTGAATGTCAGCTGCAAAGACATAAAAGGATATGACATTTTTGCTAATACTTGTGGCATTACCTTCTTTTGTCAGCATTGGTGAAACACCAAGGATACCCGCTCCATTGCCCATATTATTTATTTATTTATTTTTTTACAAATCACTTAACATTTCTGGACGACATTGACAAACTAGGTTGTGTTGATAGGAGAATTAGCTCTGACCACACCGATGGTGTTGTCAATGACATATAATGTGTTTTGTACTTGGCTGCAAGCAGCCTTAGTGAGTCCAGATATATGTCTGTGCATCACTCAAATTAGATTAAAGTGTGAGACATCTGAGACTGAACATATCCTGCCAGCCAGGCCGTTGTGTTTTGATGTAGCAGATACAAGATTGTTATTATTCTAGCTGACCACACTAGTTCTGAGTTACAAGAAATAGCCTTTGTCATAATGATTTAAAGCAAAGAAACACTGATATAGGGAAACTCTTATTGCTTACTGAGTAGAGAACATCAGATAAACCGGTATTACTGTTTTAGATTTAGACATTTCCTCAATTACACTTGGCATCTGATCTGTACGCAGATATTTTGAGATAATGACATCCAGTACAGTCTGGTATGAAATTAATTCTCATCTATGTCATTGCACATTGTGACTGTTTTTCAATAAAAAACAACAACACAGCAAGCATTAAAGTCAAATAAAAAGGAGTTTTATGAAAATAAAAACACAAATTAATCTGTATAAAAAGAAAATACGTTTAATCCTTTAAAATCTCTCTATTATTCCACTTTCTGCAGCATTACATTCTTGCTTTCGGTGGCATCATTGCAGTTCCACTGATCTTGGCTGAACCGCTCTGTATAAAGGACAACAACATTGCTAAAAGTCAGCTGATCTCCACCATATTCTTTGTGTCAGGATTGTGTACGCTGCTGCAGACAACTGTTGGAAACAGGTAACACCCTTTTATGATTTCAGTGAACCAAAGCAGACGAAGACACAAGAGTTCACACAAGAATTTCCACTTGTGTAATATCTTTTGGCACTAGCTTTGCAGTGCGCAAACTGAGACAATGCCCCACCTAAGAATGAGTGAGCGTTTTATTTGTTTGGCACACCTGATATTGGGGAAGCATTTCTTTGTTCAGTGAGGATTTTTGAGGATTAATATAAGTCTTCCTAAAACACATCCACAAAGGATCTAAAGTAACAGCCCAGCTCCTGTAGTGGTTCATGTGAACTTAGAGAGAGCTGAGGCTCAGGTGTGAAATGTATAGTTTTCAGGGTTTTTATCGGTTTTCAGCATTATTTTGTTATCGTTTTTATCGTTTACTCGGTTTTCCTGGGTCTTTTCACGTTTGTTATGAATAAATTTTCTTTTTTTCGGTACCGGTACTAGTTTTATTTTGTTGTATTTATCCGCGACACCTTAAAGGCCGGTCCATGAAATGTGAATAGTTGGTTTTTGTATTATATGATTTATTTATTACATTTTATGTGGAGTGTATAAAAAAAACCCCGAAGCACATACAATTCACAACAGAAGTGCTCCAGGATGCTAGGGGCAGTGTTGAGCTTTTGTTACCTAGTGGCTACACAAGCCAGGAAGTACCAACGACTTGGTGTGTGGTAGTAACAGGTAAACATTTTTTAAAATTATTTGAATATATATGAATGCCTGTGTATAAATACACAAACAATACACACATGCTTTCAATTGTGTAATTTAAGTGATCTAGGTAGCTCTGTTTTGGAAGTTCAGTTAACGCTATAAGTGTGTTTTGGAGTTTGTACGTGCTTTGTCTCTAGGGGCTACCGTATATATTTTTATATATATTTATATATAAACATATATATATAAAACCACAGGTTTTTTTTTACATTAGTAATTCCTTTTGTGCATCATTTTATATAGTTATTAATAATAAATTAATTAAAGCAGTAAAACAACCTGAAGAGCCGGTTGGGAGCCGAAAGAGCCGGCTCTTTTTAGTGAGCCGAGCCGAAAGAGACAGTTCTCTAAAAAGAGCCGGAAATCCCATCACTAGTTTTTCAGTTTAAGTTTCAATTTTATTTCTATAGCACATTTAAAAGACCAAGGTACATCAAAGTGCTTCACACAAGAGCCGCATTTACGGGGTTACAGCAATAGAGTGACGAAGAAAATACAGTTATCATTACGGAAAAGTTTCAGATAAGTGGCATGGCACAAACGCAAACTGAGTAAAAATTTAAAATCGAATTTGTTTCAAAGGCTAGCTTAAACAAGTGAGTTTTTAAACGTGATTTGAAGGATTGAATGGATTCCAACGGATTGACTGTTTTTATTATCGGGCTACAGAAAACTTAAAATGAGCTTTTCAGGTTACTGCCAGGACTTGCTGGGAAGTCCTACCAAGGAGGGGTTAACATTAATATCGCACTACAGCCAAATCCTTTGTTTAAAGAATGAACACTATGGGTGTATTTTATTTAGTTTGAAATTTTTTCTCTGGATGTTTGAATTAGTTTTAAACACAAACTGCATTCTCACTCTTCATTATGAGCATATGGCACGGGGAAAATAGGTACATAACTATGACACGAGTGTAGTCTAAACTAAGAGGAAAGAAATAACATTTGTTTTCATTCCCAAAAAATACATTACAGGACTCTGTAACAACAAAGCTTGACTACCCTTTGGCAGATTACAGTATAATAAAACCAATGGATTGTACACTATACTATACATTTGCAGATAGGTTTTACAAGCACTAACTGATTTGTAAAATGCTGTAAATTAAATTAAATCAGAAAAACACTGTCATATCATAGATAGACTAGGAAATAAACAAACGATTGATCGATACAGGTTGTCGTAAGCTCTATGCAGACAGGTACACATACCACCAAGTCAGATAATGATTGATGGGCTAAGGGAGGAAGACAGGATGAATTGAATGTCACATGTGATATTTTTGACAAACTTAAAATATCAGGAAAGGGATTCCATTTGTGATAATCAACTGCCAATTCCTAAAGTGTCTAAATGAAGAATGAACCATGGTTCCTCCTCAGCTATAAATAATAAGTCCGCCTAATCTGTGCAGCAATTTATTTTGACAGTTAAATGATTATGTGTGGAGAAAAACATCAGCATGATTATTGTCCGTTTGCCACTTAAGGTTAAAGTTAACTTTTAGGCCAATCTTATGGATTGTTATTTCATGAGATTGATCTATATACGTATATACCTGTGTGAGAGAGTAAAATCAGTGTAGTTATTTTGAAATTTGATTAAAATAATCCTTTTGAAACAGAAAGACTCATTTTTATAATTTTCTTTTGTTTGTGTGGGAAGCAGTGTAGCCATATATCACAATGCAGCGTGGCGCTCCACAATTGAGCTCAAGCTTGCTATTGTAACACTAAGCCCGAGCAATTAACTAAGAGTTAAGTGTTCCTCCTACACAGTTTGGCAAAAGCTTGAACATACAACAATAGAATTTGAGAAAATACTTTGAGTGAAGTACTTCAGTACTTTAAGTTTCTTTGGTTTCATTCCCCTTTGAAAAAGAGAAATGTTTCATTGTATCATGTATCATTTTGGTGCAAAACGTGCATAAGAAAGTATTACAGCATACAAAATGGTAGCAATTGAAACAGACTCTTGAAACCATAGAACCTAGTAATAATACTTTGTTTTCTGACTAAGGAGAAAACGATCTGCTAATAAAAATTATCTTCAGGTTTGCTTTGAGTATACAAAGACAAGCGTAATCAGAAGAGACTTTACATCATTTGGTCAAGTGACCTTTGACCTTTAACTTTAAAATTATTGACTTGCAGGTTACCAATCCTCCAGGGTGGCACATTCAGTTTCATCACACCAACCCTGGCAATTCTTGCATTACCCAAGTGGCAGTGTCCTGTGCCAAATGTACCTGTGAAACCATTGGTGCAGTTTCATAATGGCACCAGTCCACTACAAATGGAAAATTCAGATGAGGTCTGGATGACAAGAATGCGTGAGGTATGTTCACTTGTGTGGTTAAGAAACAAGGTGTGTGTGTGTGTGGGGGGGGAGGTGTGGCATTTTCAAAA